TGGATGTGATGGCGCATACCTGTAATCCCAGCACTCCGGAGGCTGAGGTGGAGGACTGTCACAAGTTCGAAGCCAGACTGAACTACATAATGAGTTTAAGACCAGCCTAAACTACATAGCAAAAACCTACCTCAAAACAACAAACAAAAAAAATGTATTTGTTAAATGTGCAGTACATTTAATAATGTAAATATATTAAAATTACAGTAAGCTTTGTTTCCAGAAGCACCTCAATATCTTCATACATTTCACAGTCGTGGTCATACACCATTTATTCATCTCCAAAGCACTAAGCAGTACAAACCAGTAGGCTAATTAAGAAAACTTCATCTAAGGGACATTTTTAGGAAGAAATTTTTTTTTTTTTTTTTCCAGTACCAGGGATCAAACTCAGGACCTTGAGCTTGCAAGGCAGGCGCGGGGCCACTGAGCTAAATCCCCAGACCATAAAGGACATTTTAAAGAAAGGAACAAAATATAAAGTAAGAAAAAGCTAAATGAAATGGTTAATCCTTACTTCATATATAAACTAAATGTAAGTTTAAAAATACAACTTACCCTAATACAGCTGAAACAACAAAGCTTGGAGCAATGTGGACACAAGCGAGCATCCCGCAATTTCTCCATGCAAATGAAACATCGGAAAACCTCAGCAATGCTCTGAAAATAATACAAGATGGAAAGGTCGCAGGTTAGATTACTCAATCAAGAATAAAAAGCACTACAAAAATAATTTACTTGAGCCAGGTATGGTGGCGCATGCCTGTAATCTCAGCACTCAGGAGGCTGAGGCAGGAGGAACACCATGAATTTGAGGTCAGCCTGCACTACAAAGACTGTCTCAAAAAACCAAACCAAAACAAAACAAAACCAACATCATCAACAAAAATTCACTCAACAATTACATTTATTTTGGGCTAAAATCTTAGTTTTTACCATATCTCATACCAGAACTTGGTCAAGGTCCCAGATACATCAGAACATCTGGACAATGTACTTTTTTTTTCTAGGTTTGACAAGAATTCTATTCTAAGAAAAAGACAGACTATGTACAAATTTTTCACTGAAGCCTTAATAATAATGGCAAAAATCTGGCAACTACCCAGATACCCAAATATTAAAATATTGTAGCAGTAACACAAATTATGACTCTGTCACTGAAAATATTTACCTTAATGATAGAGAAATGCTTATGATATACAACAGTAAGAAAAGACTGTGACCGAATCCACAATATGAATTTTTCCCTGCAATTTCCCCTGAAATAACATGCTTTTATAGTTAGGAGGGGGAAAAAAGGTTTTAAAAATATAGGTATCCTAATGGCAGTGTATTTTGCCCTGAGAGAAACTGATTCAGGATCCAGAAATCTGAATTTCTGTCCTAAAGCTGCAACCAACTAGCTACTTCTCTGAGCTCGACATTCTGTCCTTATGAAAAATTTTGGTGGCAGTTCTGAGGCCTTGGGAAGAAAATAAAAGTAAAGAATCAGCATTACTTTGCAAACCTCAGCGAGCTGCTTTAGGAAGTGATGAGAAAACACATAAAATTAAATGTAGGTATTGCATATTTTCATTTTTTATGGCATTTTTGCATACTTTTATTCCATTCCAGAAAACTTAAACCATGAAATCAAGGTAAGTATACAAAACCTATGTAATACTTTCACAAAGGGAATTAAGAAAATTACGTACTCAGGAATGGAATCAGGACTGCAGGGGTCAGACCCTGTGAGGTACAGACTCTTAACTGGCCGCAGAGTGGACAACAAAGACCACTGGGTGAACTAGTTTCAAGTGGAGTGTTCAGTAACAGTTACCGCTTTACCAGGAAGGATTTACTATTTTAACTTCAAATTCGACAGTCACGATAAACAGTCTTTTTCGATGTTTCCAGGCTTTATGGAAATATCCCAAACACGTAAAATCCGCTTAGAGTCATATAAAAAGAATATTGTTCTAGAAACTATGGCCAAATAAGACAATACAAATATATATACTATACACACGTTATACTACATATATATGCATGCACACACGGGGCGGGGGGGGGATCCTCGTTCAATCTAGGAAGAATAGAAGCCTGCAAAATGTAACGCTGGGAAGAAAAGATTATTATTCATTTGGACCTTGATTTGGATCCGCTCTCAAGTACTCTTAAATAAGTGGCGGCGAACAGCAGAGCACGTCCATCTCATGAATTTGCAGTTTTGCTCTGAAAGGCTTAGTTTGGCAAATATCGGGAGGTAGGAATACTGTACAGGCGCCAACGCACCCCTGAAAGGACCAGGCTATGCAGCACCTGACTGCGGAACAGAGTAAGCACAAGACACCCGGAGGGTCGCAGAACCAGCCCCGGGCCAGCCCGCCTCACAGAGCCAATGACCAGATGAAGATGCCCTAGCAGAGAAGAGGGAAGCGCACAGGGCCGGCAGAAAAACGCTCACCGGGTGGCGGAGACTAACCACCACCCTCCGCAACGCCCCTCACCTCCACACTCTGTTCATCCATCGCCTCAGGCTCTCGGCGGGGCCCTCGGCGACCCGCGGAGTCCGTGGACTGCCCTAACAGGCGACGGCCCGAGGTCGTCAGGTCAAATAGCCAAGAACAACCCGGCACCCAAGTCAAGGGACTCCGACAACTGCCCCACTAGAGAGCCCCATTGCCTCAGGTTCTGTGCCAGCTACCCCCATTTCGCCATTTTTATCACTGCGCCCGCCGTGGAGCGGAGGGGGGGTAAGCAGCGGCCGCAGCTCCTTCCTCCCGCCTCAGCCGCCAGTCAAGGACCACGAAGTAGCTTCGGCCCACGTGACGCGGGCGCGCTCGTATCGAAAGTCTGAGGCGCTGGTCGCAAGCGAAAGAGGCGCCGCAGACGATTCGCGAACCCCAACGGTAACCACGGCAGCTAGAGGCGCGACAGCCAGAGAAGCCACAACGCGCGTGCGCGCAAGAGGGGCGGGGCAGGGAGGAGAGGCGGGTGATTAGTTCCCGCGGTGCAGGAGCGTGCACGAGACTTGGAGAATCGTGGCCACAGGGTTGCAGGCCTTGAGCTGCAAGGGGCTGTAGGCAGCGGGAGGGCGGCCCGCCCCCAACTAGGGGGCCGTGCTCGTCTTCTCAAAATTTAGCGCGCCAGAATGGAGCCATCTGGCTGGCTTGTGAAAAACGTCGCTTTGGAAGTCACACCCCTAGGATTTCAGATTTGGAAATTGAAGGGAAGGGCCCAGGAAATGCACACCATCAGCAGCCATGCCTGGTGCTCCGCTACAGGTGACTCGGAGATGCCCTAAATTGGAGGATTTGTGAGGAATGGTTTTTTCAGGGAGCAATTGCGCATTGCAGCAAGCACCTACCGCTGAACTACATTCCCAGCCCTTAGTTTCAGGGTCTGAGTGCCCAGGCTGGCCTTGAAGTCGATTCTACCAGCTCATCTCGAGTAGTTGAGATTAACAGACACGTGCTCCACACCTGGCCGCACTCTAAGGTTTTAAGATTTTTCTCTCCCCCTACCAAAGAAACGAGTTGAAAAGCTCCATACTGTAAAGTCTGGAGAGATGTTTCTCATTTTGGTGGTAGGGTGGACGGGACCAGAGTAAAGTCTTCAGAACCACACTCCACGCTTTTCTGGACGCTTTGGACGCTCGCCATGCCCTGGGACTACTAAAAGGACAAAGGGTTATCAGCTTGTGTGGAGTTTTCCTATAATTGAGATCTGCTTTCTACAATTTCCTGCCAGAAGCAATGTGTACACTGCAGAAGTTGAAGGTGTGTGACACAAAAGGACATACGTAAAATTCTTAATTTGAACCCAATTTTTCCTGTCTAGTTAACTAAACAATCTTTTTATACTTGCTTTAGCCAAGAGTGTGCATGTAGGGAATTAAGAAATTCTTGAATATCAGGCATTTGGAACTTGTAAGTTGTAAGCAGGAACTAGGTATATTTCAGCTACCTGAGCCCCAGACAAGGATATAAATTTAGATTAATATAGGACTGTAAATGCTTTCATTAAAAAGTATTTAAAATTTTGGAACTATGTTAAGGTGATGGTTGCATAACACTATTTGTACTAAAATGTCCTCAATTATACACTCTAATATTGTTTCTTTTGTGGGAATTTTACTTCAATTTAAAAAAATTATTCGTAGCCGGGAGTGGTGAAGCAAACCTGTTGTCCCAGGACTCGGAAGGCTGAGGCAGTAGGGTTGCCACAAGTTTGAGGCCAGCCTGGGCTACATAGTGAGTTCAAGGCCAGCCTGAGCTACATAGTGAGATCCTGTCTCAAAAAAACCAAAACTTAAAAAATAAAAAAAATTACACGTGGAACACAGTACCCCAACTAATACAACTATGACACCATGGCTATTGAATGACTATGGGCAAGTAGTGCCTTTAGTGTGGACTAGTTGGACAAAGGGATGGAGAAGGATGGCATGAGATTGATTTATCATGCTACTCCTGTGACATTTAAAATTTAGGAATTGTTTACTTCAGGAATTTGCCACTTAAATGTTTTTGGACCAAGGTTGGTCACAGGCATCTAAGACCATGGAAAGCAGAACTGCACATAAGGAGGGACTGTGTTTACATCTCAGATACGACTCCAAAACCCAGTATTAACAACAAAACTGCAATACCTGCTCCTCTTCTCCCCATCTAAGCACGGTTTTAACATTTCCCACATTAACAGTAAAAATGTATTGGGGTCTTGGATTCTTATTACATAGATACACCATGATTTACTTTCCTATTCACCTATTAAAGATGTGTATCTGTATCATTATTATAAATACTCGTGTAATTAACTTTTTTTTTTACCCCAGCCCAAATTTTTTTAAGTATTGGCAATTTAGCCCAGGGCCTTGCACATACTAAGCACATGCTCTACCTCAAGGTGGTAAGTTTGATCCCCAGTACCAAAAAAAAAGAAAAGAAAAAAGGAATTTCTTCTCAGGGACTTTAAAATTAAATTAAAAAGTAGTAGATAAATGCTCCACTGATTTGTTTCTGAGTTTTCATATTCTTTTTATTTGAGACCCCCCCTCACCTGATTTAGCTTTTATACAGAATGAACAATTATAGGATGAATGAGAATAAAAGTATTATTGAGATACCACAGGGGTCATCAAAAATGGCATTTGAAAACAAATTTATGCTGCTCAACACTAGCAGACAGATGATTTAAGGAAAAAAGTAAACAAAAGTGAGGCTACACAGGAAAGCCAACATATTAAACTTTGTGAAAGACTACATATCACATATTAGTGGTCTCACCAATAATGTAACTCCATCTGCCATCAACATTTTCAAAAATGAAATTATATACCTATATATAATATATAATACAAATATTTTGCTTTTAGTCTATTTTATAATGCACATTCATTCACACAATGGCAGACTAAAATGTATAAACATTCTTTTATGATAGGCCAGAACATCTATTATCCATCTATTATCCCAACAATACAAAAAGAAAACAGATGCAAATTAGTATTAAAGGACTTCCTTTACCTAAAATTACAAAACTAAATAAGGTATAGATATTTAAATCCTTTTATTTCCATTCCATCCTTTGGCTGAACTTTATTAATATAATATCTGCTCTTGTTAATCCTCCTTTTATGAAAGGCATCATGACCCTGTCTCTCAAGCCCAACTTCCTCTTCCTCCTTTACCAGCCCCCCACCTCTACTCATGAACTGTTAATGACACATCTTCCTGTATTTCTCTGGAATTAATCTCTTCGTAATTACAGTTCCCTTTTGCAATTCCACTTCTTCATAAGTGTGGCATGTGAGATTTTAACTGCTCTGTCACAGTTTTTTCTTCTTCAGTCAGTGATGACAGCTAGAAAACAAATGACAAAACCTTTATTTCAGAAACCTTCAAATACTATTAAATTAGTTAAGTTCTGCTTTATCACACAATAAATGTTTGCATAAGCTTATATCATGTATGTAATCACAACTTTAGGAAGACAAAGGAAAAAAATAGATATTTGACTCTCTGTATACAAAGTATTATGATCTTTGAGCTTCCAAAGAATTTGCAAGTAAGATGAAGAAACCAGACCAGAACAGGCATGGTGGCATACATCTGTAATCCTGGCACTTGGAAGGCTGAGGCAGGAGGATCACTACAAGTTTGAGACCAGCCTGGGCTACATAGTGAGTTCAAGGCCACCCTCACTACATATTGAGACCCTGCCTCAAAGTAAAACCAAAAAACAACAACAACAACAAAACAGAAACGAGGCCAAGAAATTGGAAATCATGTTTACCTGTTATATTCTAAAAGTTTTTGAAAAGGAGATGTGAACAAAAACAGTTTGGAATCTCAGAGAAGTGGAGTCTTGCATTAATTTTTAAGAACAATGAAAATGCATTGAGTGGCAAAAAAAAAAAGGAAAATGGATGAATTATAAGAAAATAATTGTCAATGCACAATAAGTTGAGAAAGAAAATGTGAGGCACCTTAACCATATAAGGAACTCTGTCTCACAACTCTGATATCGTTGATAGTGGCTTCACACTCAAACTCACACTAAAATACTTCTAACAGTGCTGGTATCATATCTACACACAATTCCAGAAGATTTCTTTCCCCAGGGTTCTTTGCACAGTGAGGAAACTCTCCCTAGTTACCTGTTTCCAAACTTTCACTCCTATGTCATTGGGTTACAAACTCATTTCTGAACCAATGTTAATTAAAAGAAAATCCATCCCCTTGGCCACTCAAGTACACCCCTGGATCTGAGGACGGGCCCAGCTTGACCTCAGGCATGTGGCTATGAAACAAGACACATATCTTAAGAAAGTCAGTACTCTTACAGGTAGGAAGAATAATGGATGATGAGCAAACAGCCAACCAAGAGTGTCCACCAGCAAGAGCAAAAGCAAAAGGAAGAAATAAAACAAGGAAAGTTGTAAAAGATTTTCACAGAGGACCAACAAATATGCTGGCAGAAACAAAGAGTTCTATGGGGAAGTAATATGAGATACAACATGAATCCCTTAAGTAGTCTCAAATCTGCCTAATTATATAGGTCATCTCTGGAGAGACTGCCAAATCTAGAACACCCAGACCTACAGAATCTGAATCTCCAGGGCAGCACTGTCCAATAAAACTTTCCATTATGGTGGAAATATTCTATATCTGCACTGTCCAATTGGGAGATGAAGAACTGAATTTTCAATTTTATGTAACTGAGTTTAAATGGCTATTGGAAGCCTACATGTCCAATATATGATAGACTGCTGGTTTGACTAATCAAACAACATTTGCCAAACATGTTCACGTGAATAAAATGATAATCATATGCCTTACTGCAACCCAAACATTTACAGAATATCCTTCTACCTCAAAAAAAAAGGAAATGGGTATAGCTCAGCAGCAGCATACTTGCTTAGGGATACACAAGGCCCTGAGTTTAATTCCCAGCACTGAAAAAAAATTTTTAAAGAAAAAAATTTTAAATGATATTACTCTGGCGAGTCTTGTTACTCTCCCCCCCGCCCCATACCGGGGATCAAATTCAGGACCTTGTGCTTGTGAGGCAGGTGCGGTGCCACTGAGCTAAATCTTCAGCCCCAAGTCTTGTTACTTCTTAATGCATCTATGTTGTTTCTGTGATCACTGCGCAGGAATTTTCACATCTGTTTAATCCTCAAAGAATTTTTGCAAAAGTTAAAGTCAAGTTAACCTGTCTAAAATTTGTAGAAATTTTCCTTTAACACAAGTGTTTTAAGCATCCATCAAGAGGATACTACACAGTCTACTTTTAGTGCCTTTATTACTTTCTATTATTATATTTTTGTTTTGGTAGCATGTTTTGCTATGTTCTATCTTTGTACATATTTACTCCTTTTTTTCTTTGGTTGGTTAACTTCATAATTAAGTATATTTAAATTGCAATGATTTAATATCAGCTAAGAAAGATTTAATATCAGCTAGATTAACATGTGTTCTCTTTCTCCCATTTCCTTTTCTATTCTCCCTATTTATTATTGAAAATTATCAATTCACCTCTTTTTATTTTTTTTGGTACCAGAGATCTGGACCTTGTGCTTGCAAGGCAGGCAGAACCACTGAGCTAAATCCCTGGCCCTCAACTCTCTTTTTTAATAATAATCAATTCAAATACACTGTCTACCTTTTTTTGTTTTGGGGGGTTTTTTGGGGGGGAGGTTGGGTTATTTGTTTGGTTTTTTTAAAACTAGGTCTCACTATGTAGTTCAGCCTGGCCTTGTACTGACTATATGTACCCCAGGCTGACCTCTGACTTGCAGCGATACTCCTGCCTCAGACTCCCAAGTGCTGGGATTACAGGTATATGCCACCATGCCCAGCCTGTTAACAGGGTTTTTTTTTTGGTTTTTTTTTTTGTACCAGAGATCGAACTCAGGACCTTGTGCTTGCAAGGCAGGCGGCGGAACCACTGAGCTAAATTCCCGGGCAACAGTTTATTTTTTAGTGTCTAATCCTTTTGTTTTTTTTCCTTTTGAGACAGGGTCTTCCTATGTAATTTAGGCTGCTCCTGACCTCACTGTGTAGCCCAAGTGGGCCTTGAACTCATGGTGATTCTCCTGCCTCAGCCTCCTAAGTGCAGGGACTGTAGGTGTGCACCACCAGGTTCATCTCCCTTTTAATCTTAAAAGGGTTGAATGTCAGAAGATTGAATGTCACATATGTACTTTCTTTAAACTTTCTAGATTTATCTCATTTTAAAACTTACGTAGCTGCTGGTCATGGTGACACACATTGGTAATCGCAGCACTCTGAGACAAGAGGATTTATATAAATTCAAGGCCAGCCTGAACTACACAGCAAGACTCTGTCTCAAAAAATAAAAAATAGGGTGGGGGATTTAGCTCAGGGGCACGGGGCCTGCCTCGCAAATACAAGGTGATGAGTTCCATCCCTGGTACCAAAATAAATAAATAAATGAAATAAATTTTTAAAATTAAAAAAAAAAAGTAGTAGGTAGAGGACCCATTCTATCTTTACATCTCCAAATTTGGTCTTTACTGATTCTAAAATACAGCTTCCTTTTCAAAGGTTTAAAACCTACTTTTCAGTCATTTCTCCTTGTTTTTTTGGGTTTTTTGGTACTGGGGATTGAACTCAGTACATTGCACTTGAGAGGCAGGCATAGCACCACTGAGCTAAATCCCCAGCCCTCATCTCTCCTTGTTTGCTATCATCCAATGCAAAGTGAAAGCTCTCTCAGCATTCTACCTGATAAATAATTGCTTATTTCAGATAAAAACATCATTTAGATATTCTCCTTAATGGTTATCTTTATAGCAATTTAGATCATTAAAAACCCCTATCATGTAGGGGCTGCAGATGTGGTTCAGTGGTAGATTACTCAGCTAATATGTTCAAAGCCCTGGATTTGACCCCCAGCACCACTAGATAAATAAATAAATCATCCATCACTATCATAACTATTTTTCCATACCAATTTATAGTGTCAATCAGAAATATGCCACATATTACATCCAGAAGGGGCAATTTGTTTGTTTTTTGTATTTTTTGAGACAGAGTCTTGCTATGTAGTTCAAGCAGGCCTTGAACTCACTATGTAGCCCACACTGGTCTCGAACTCACAGTGACCCTCCTGCTTTAGCCTCCCAATTACAAGGATTCTTACACTATATAAAACAGGGATGAGGAATGGACTGAAGGAATGGAGGGGAGGTCAGACTCACCCAGGCCTGACAACCCAATTGAAGAAAAGGAGAAAAAAAAACCAAGCCAGGCATGGTGGTGCATGCCTGTAATCCCAGCACTTGGAAGGCTGAGGCAGGAGGATCGTTGCAATTTCGAAGCCAGCCTGGGCTACAGAGTGAGTTCAAGGCCAGCCTGAACTACATGGTAAAATCCTGTCTCAAAAAAACAAAATAAAACAACAACAACAAAAATTGGGAGTGTAGTTCTGTGACAGAGTGCTTGCGTGAGTTGCACAAGGTCCTAGGTTTGATCCATGATAATGCCCCCACAACTGTTTCTGCTATAAATACTTTCCAGACTGCTCAGTCTCACTAGTTTTTATAAGATGCAGAGTAGGTCTATTTAATTAAGTATTAGCAAGGGTTCTCTTCTGCCATGATTACATAATCTAAGGCAGCATACCTCTTCATTAATCATGCCATGTCCACTTATTTATTTTAAAATAAAAGGAAATAAAAATAATCATACTTGAGGGTATCAAAAATAGCATTTCTATCAATAGTTCAAACTGACTTCTAAATTTTTAAATCCACATTCCTCAGTGTTTATCTTATAAAACAACATTGAGAACTAAAACTATAGAATCCAATTTGTCAATTGAAAACATTACCTCCACATCAGTATGCTTTTGTAGTTCTTGTATCATGGCCATAGTCTTATTCAAAGTAGTATAAATGCGGTTCTTAGTCTCTTTCTGCTCAATAGCAATGGGTTTAAAACGTGCATACAAAGTTTGGTATCGAGACTTTATAGCTGACAATTCCTTTAAGAGTGTAACTGGATTTTTCTACATCAGGAAAAAAGCCAGTAAATATTAAATCATGGAATGGAAAAATTAAATTTCTTCTTAAGAATTAGAATATATCATATTACTATTAACTATTTAATTGAACACTGTTGATATATATACAACGATGTGACAGGATGGGGGGAGTATAAGACCTGGAGCATATTATCAAGGAATTTATACCCTAGGGATAGAAATCACACACACACACACACACACACACACACACACACATCAATATTAAACAGCAAATAAGATCAGTTTAGATGTATACATTTGATGCACAGTTCACAACCACACATTATTTCTAAATTTTTTTTTTTTTTTGGTACTGGGGATTGAACTCGGGTCTTTGCACTTGCGCAGCAGCTAAATATAATTTTAAATGCCATTCAGAAGAAGATTAAAGCTACTACTTTGATTTGTTCTTCAAGAATAGGATAACTTGAGGGGCTGGGGATTTAGCTCAGTGATTCTGCTGCCTGCCTTGCAGGCACAAGGACCAGAGTTCGATCCCTGGTACCAAAAAAAGCCCGAAAAACAAAAAGAACAGAATATGCTGCACAAGCGCAAGGACCCAAGTTGGATCCCCGGTACCAAAAAAAAAAGAATAGGATAACTTGAAACCACTAATTATAAAATTAATAAACATACTGCCATGGAACTGAAGTATAAGTAAATACCAATGTATTAAATATACACATAAAATATAAAATTCATGCCAACTCAACTATATAAACTACATTGGTTTTTCAAATTCATTTTGTAATATAAATAACTACTGCCAAGCATAGTAATGCGTGCCTATAATCCCAGCATTCAGGAGGCTGAGGCAGGAGGGTCACCATGAATTCAATGCCAGCCTGGGCTATATACTGAGTTAAAGGCCACCCTGAAATAAATGAATGAATGAATTAATTAATTAATTAAATATATAAAATTGGTATCTACATTTATAAAAGACATCTCAATTAGTCTCTTCTGTCTGCCAAACGGTACTGAATTCTTTTCATTCCCTGAAGGTTCCTACCTATTCCAAACTTTCTGTCCTTCCTCCAATACCCATTTACTTGCTCCTTCTTCCACATGACCTCACCAAATGCCTTGCTATGAAGGCAGAAACAATCCAGTAGAAACTCCATTTTCATGACTATAGATTTTTATAAAAATATCTATAGACATTCTCATCTTTATTTAGCTGCTATCACTACCACTAGTGTTTCCTTCCCATATCCTCTAGAACTTTAAATTTTCTGTTTATCAATTATCTTCTGAAAATTTCTCTTGTACAATTTAAAAATATATAAATTATAATATTATATATGTATATATGGGGAAAATAATTCTTTGCCTTCTCTCTATTGTCACTTCAAAACCAGGTATTCTTTTGTTTCTTGCTTTTTTTTTTGGTACTGGGGATTGCTTTTTTTTTTTTTTTTTTTTTAACACAGGGTCTTACTTTGGTAGTTCAGACTGGGCTTGAACTCACTATGTAGCCCAGGCTATCTTTGAACTCATGGAGATCCTCCTGCCTCAGCCTCCCGAGTGCTGGGATTATAGGCATGTGCCACTACACCCACACAGCCTGCTTACGACTAGATTATGAACAGAACTTAACACAGCCATCACAAAGGAAAAAAAATGTATGCATAGCCTGCTTTGTTCAAATAACTGGCTCTTAAAAATAAATAAATAACTTGATCTTGAGAGCCACTGTGTTCTTCTATTAACATTTGTAAAACTGCACTGCACTTTAATGTTGTGCCTATAATACCTCAATTCATTTTAGGGTTTTATTTATCTTAAGTGGGTGATAAAAGGTCTTAAAAATATATAAGAAATGCTCTGCTAATGATAATGCTGGTCATGAGAGAAAAGAAAAGAGCCAGTCCATGAGCAAACAGCTGAATGCCAAGTGTTTTAATGAAATGTGGCATTAGTTGTACTATTTACAAGCTTTAAAAACTTGACAGAGAGCCAGGGATTTAGCTCAGTGGTTCTGCCGCCTGCCTCTCAAGCGCAAGGACCCAAGTTCGATCCCCAGTACCAAAAAATAAATAAATAAATAAATAAAAATTGACAAGGAGCCGGGGATTTAGCTCAGTGGCACCGTGCCTGCCTCAAAATCGCAAGGTCCTAAATTCAACCCCTGGTACAAAAAAAAAAACAAATTGACAGGGAAAGCCTGGTATGGTAGTGCATGCCTGTAATTCCACTCAGGAAACTGAGGCAGCAGGATCGCCTAGGGTTCAAAGCAAGCCTGGGCTACATAGTGAGTTCAAGTCCAGCCTGAACTACATAGGGGGATCCTGTCTCAAAAAATAAAAATAAAAACAGAAAAAGATAAGAAAAATGCTTGTAAAATTTTAAAAAATTACTGTTCTGGAACAATTAAGGGTGAAAACACAGTAATAGGACCTTACAGTTTATTGTCTCTCTCTGTATAAATAGACCCCAGAAAAAAGGTTGACTTTTGTGCATAGTTATTGACAGCTTCCAAGTCATAAATGGTACTAGAAGGAAGATAATGCAGCTAAATAAAAATGCATGTATGTATGTGGATCTGAGTAAACACACACCATAGGTGGCTGGCACATATGTCAATGAATATTTACTACAGGTACACACAATGTATCACCACAGAGAGACGGTGTTAGACAACTGGTGATTTACTTTCCACTTTTTAAAAAAAATTTTTTATTTTTTGAGACAGGGTCTCACTATGTAGTTCAAATTGGACTTGAACTCACTGTGTAGCCCAGGCTGACCTCAAACTCAGTGATCCTCCTGCCTCGGCCTCCCAAGCACTGGGATTACAAGAATGCTCCACCACATCTGACACTTTCCTCTTTTGGGGGCGGGGGGGCGGGTACCAGGGATCAAACTCAGGTCCTTGCACTTGCGAGGCAGGCAGCGAAACCACTGAGCTAAATCCTCGGCCCTCCTCTTTCTTGATAAATAATCATTAGGCCTAATGTTGGGCAAACCTATGAACATTAAAAGATTGGTTTTGTTCCCAAATGTAACACGTACATACAAAAAGAAGGTAGATAAAGTTATTGTATGAATATTAAGGTATTTAAAAAGATATAGTTCCTCAAAAATTAAAACAAAATTACCATGTGACCTAACAATTCTACTTCTGGCTATATACTCAAAAGAACTTAAAGCATATACTCAAACAAATATTTATTCACAAATGTTTATAGCAGCAGTATTCACAATAAGCAAAAGTTGGAAGCAAACCAAATGTCCATTGACAGATGAGTGAATAAAGAAACTATGATACTCACATACAATGGAATATTATTCCACCTTAAAAAAAGAAGTTCTGACACTGCTACAATATGGATGAATCTTAAGGCCAGTATGCTAAGTGAAATCAGCCAGTCACAAACAGACAAATATATGCTTCTACATCTATGATGTATTTAGATCTAGAGAAGTCATTCGTAAAGACAGAGGTAGAATGGTGATTCCCATGGGGCAGGCACTGAACGACTATGGTGGTGCATGCCTGTAATCCCAGCACTCTGAGAGGCTGAGACAAAGGTCTGTTCTGAGTTTGAGGCTAGTCTTGGTTGCACAGTGAGTCCAAAGCTAGCCTGGTTTACATAGTGAGAAACAATCTCAAAGAACAAACAAAAAAAGGTAAATTTTATGTTATGAATATTTCACCACAACTAGAAAAAGAAAAAAACCTAAGAATGTAAAGCAATTTAGCTACTTTGAAAAACAGTTTGGTGGTTCCTCAAAATATCAAGCATGAGCCTGGAATCCCAACTACTCAGGAGGCTTAGGCAGGAGGATCACAGCCAAGTTCAAGGCCAGCCTGGGCAACTTAGAAAGACCCGGTTTCAAAAAAGGAGTTTGGGGATGTAGCTCAGTGCAAAGACTCTAGGTTCAATCCCCAGTATCACACACACACACACACACACACACACACACACACACACACACACACACAAAAGACAAAAAAGTCAAGAGCTAGAATAATTCAAATATAATTCTGCAATACCATGAATTGAACAGTAAAAAGTGAACATTCATGAAGTTTTCCTGATTTTGTATAAAATGTCAGTTTAATTTGTACTTCTATCCAGTCAAAAAAAATTTTTAATGTGTTTTACTTTTTGAAAACTATAAAGTATAGCATTTCTTGTTTGCTGGCAAGAACTGTCAAAGATAGTAATGCTTTTAGGCATCACTTGCTTTTATTCCATGGGCATGTATACTTACAGTTATGACTTTATGGCCTATGAATAGTCAGCTGGAGGCAGTAGTATGTACCTATACTCCCAGCTACTCAAGGGGCTGAGTCAAGAGGATCACTTGAGCCTAGAAATTTGAGACCAGCCTGGGCAAAACAGTCTCAAAAATAAATAAGTAAATGAATAGATACTATTTCTAATCCACCTCATGTTACAATAACTTAGGACATAATTTTATGCAAAAACCATTGCTCATATTGTATAATTAAACAAATTGAACAGTACATCATCCTGTTCCTAGGAGAATAGCATGCCTGCCAATACATACTGAAGAACCACTGCTCTAGTGAGTAGCGGCTATATTCTCTCTTGGAATTTCAGAGGTTTCTACCCTGGTTTGTACCTCGGAGCTCAATGATTCTTTTTGTTTTTGGTGCTGGTGATGGAACCTAGGGCCTTGCACATGCCAGGGAAGATCTCTACCACTGAGCTACATCTCCAGCCCTCAATGATTCTTCTTTTCTTTCTTTTGGTACTGGAAATTGAACTCAAGGCCTTGCAACTTGCCTGGCAGATGCTGTGCCATCAATGATTCTTTTTTGAAAGTTAGGGAAATATAACAAGCAAAGTGCCACAAATTTCACTGATGATAGTTATAATCTTTTCAGTATGCCCTGACCAAGCTTCCATCACAAGATTTTAAGAATCTATAAATTCAGTATAATGCAATTGTTAATGTTATTGCTTTATTCTTTTATTAGTAGAAATATTACGGCTGGGGATATAGTTTAGTGGTACAGCATTTGCCTAGCATGTGTAAGGCCCTGGAATCAATCTCCATTACCACACACACCAAAAAAAGAAGTATACTATTAGAAACTACCAGAAAATCTTTTTATGAAATATTCAGTTAAAAAGGTTTATTCATTTTATAGATTACCTCGCCTGCTGAATCAGGATGATTAATCTTGATTTCATATTCCAGCCTGTACTGAATGTAATCCAGATCAGAGTCAGCTTTCTGGAACTAAAAATCAGCACAAATATTTATTTTATAAACCAAAACACATATTAGTAACCAAAATATTTTAGTCTTTCCTTCCTTTTTATATTTTTTATTATTTTAATGTGTAATAAATACTTTGAAAAGATGAGAGTAGGGATGTAAAATGGTACTTGCCTAGCATGCATAAAGCCCTAGATTTTATAACCGCCATTGTGCAAAAAAGAAAAAAGTGGAAATAAAAAAGTATATAAAATTTTAAAACTAGATAACATTTTGAAATCATTATCCATGCATCTCTCTTAGATTTAAGTCAAAATAAGATTCTAAGTAGCCACTGTCATATATTGTATTAATACAAAAACATGAACAATTCCATAGGGTCAGTGATGATCAGGTAAATAATAGCACTTTCCTACCTTTGGGAGGAAATATGGTTTCAAGTTAAAATACAGAACAATTTTATTTCAAGGATACTCAGTTACCTTTATTACAAATACACCACATTAACCAAAGAGCTACAAATATATGCCACCAAATTTAGAGGCCTTCAGGCCGGGACTTTCACTCAGTGGTTTTGCAGCCTGCTGCTCAAGTGCAAGGACTGGAATTCAATCCCCAGTACCAAAAAAAAAAAAAAAACAAAATCTAAAACAACAATTAACGAAAAGA